ATGGACTCCAAGTTGACGCCCCTGCGGCCAACGATGCGAGGTAGAGTATGAGAAAAAGTGAAAATCGCACCAGTGAAGACCACGCAACTAAAGTACCGAACAGACTGAGCGGGAAGGTAGTTGACGATAGGTTTACGGTAGAGTTTGCGGCACTGAAGGAAAGAGTCCGGCAACTGGATGCAGAGATTAAGGGTGTCAAACTCCGGAGGCCAGATAGCAGTCCGCTGCTGCACAACTGCTTCGAACCAGACGTCAGCAATCGTAAAATTAGGCGAGAGGAGATGGTCGCCACGTAAGAGATATAATCAGAATGGCCGGGTTGCCCAAGATAGTCCCTATCGTCAAGTTTCACTGCGTGGGACTTTGGCGAGCCACGCAAAAAGGGCAGTCGCGGCCAATAGTGATAACGTTTCCTACCATGTATTGGAGAGATCAACTGATATCTATAGCGGGTGCAATCGAAATAAAAACTGACGGCCGAATCAGCGTCACGCCAGATNNAATGTCGGCTCGAGTAAGGTTAGAATGGAGGTCAGACGACTTGGGGAAAAAAACCAAAAGTCGAGAAAATAACGGAACACCGATCCTTGGATGAGGCGATGGTACCACAAGGCAGGTCTATTCTGAAGGTAACGCCAGGTACATCAAAACCGAAAGAAGTAAAATTAAAAAAGGGGTTCCGAATGCCCCTAAACCCAGTAGTAACGGAGCGAAAGGAGTTGAATCCTGGAGCATCTCCAGCGGAAATGTGGGCCGAGGAAACGGGCCACACAAGCAGAGGAACTGCGACCAATTTGTAAATAAAGACGCGGTTGATACTTCAAAAAAACAGGAGCTGGACCCTACGTTCGAGGGCACAATCGAAAAACCAGCCATAGTGGGACATGAACTACAATGGAGTGAACCACAGATTTGGTACACAAATGCTTGCAGCATCCAAAGAAAATGGGGGGAATTGGACACCAGAGTAATAGGGTGTGTGGTAGCTGGGGTCCTGATGGAGTCCCAATAATGTGGCTACACATTTCGGGAGCTACTTAACCTGCAGACAAGATAGCACGGATCGAAGAGTAGAGGGTGGGGCTGCCATTATGGTACATCAAAATCGTAGAAGTTGAGAGGCTCCGTTTGAAATGGATTCTAACAACATTCGGGTCACGTCCTGTTTCGTAAAATTTGATTAAAAAATAATGTGTATCTTATGTGTCTATAGAGTCCCCCTCTCCAGTGGACGGGAGAATGATAACCTACTGAGAGTACTGCAAATAGTGCTCTCAAGAACTAGGGAGTTGGTTATTCTGGGTGACTTGAACTTTCCAGTCATTAACTGGGAGGCTGGATGCGAGCCCAGAAGATCCACGGATGAAGCATTTCAATAATGCAGCTGCACGAGCTGGTTCAACACGTTACAATGCCAACAAGACACCGAGGGCGCCAATCGCCTTCCATACTAGACCTATCGATCAAGAAGTGCCGCAAGGATATTGGTGGTTAAGAGCGGAACTACCTCTGGGCAAAAGTGATCATGTAGTGATGAAGGCTTCACTTTGAACACACAAACATGTCTCCAGCAGCTTCCATTAGGTGCTATGGCAAGCTAAAGATAGAATAAATGAAAAGGGCTGCGGACACAATGTCCTGGGTGCCCATCCATCCCGATCCTACTCTAGAAGAAAGATGGGAAGTAGTCAAAAACGAACTGCTAAGGCTAAAAGCGGAGTTCGTACCTCTGAGGCCATCCGGAGAAGAACGGCAGTCTCCGTGGTGGCGGCCAAAAGTGAAGAGGGCAGTAGACATCCAGAGGAAAAAATGGGCAGCGTACACCACGTATCACACCAGCCAACATATGATAACCATAAACAGGCCCGTAATAAAGACCAAGCTGCTCCAAGACAAGAGAAGTTTCGTTTCGAGCATAGGTCAGCCAGGTCGGCAAAGATGAATCCAAAAGAATTATGTGCCTACGTACAATCGAAAGCGAGGGAAAATGTGTTCGCAATAAAAGGTCTGGATGGTCAACTGACGCTGACAGATCTGGAAAAGACCAGAACACTTTTGGAAGCGTAAAAAGGGATATATAGCTCACCACTCGAGACCTAAGATGACCCGGACTGGCAGAGAAACTACAACTCACCGGGTTTATCTGAAATATGGGTAAGCGAAGATAGTGTCAGGGGAGAGCTACACACTCTATGTAAATGCAAAAATGTTGGGCCAGATGGAATTCATCCGACCGTAGTTCAACCACTGGCCGAAGTCCTAGCTATACCGGTGATATTGCTTTACGCAGCCTCACTCAGTGAGGGAAACCTTCTTGGAGAATGGAAGTCAGCAACGGTGGTTGATATGTATAAAGGTGGCCCCAGGCAAAATCCCACGAACTATGGGCCACTTAGCCAAACATGTATTTTATGCAAATGCCTAGAACGCACCGTGAGGCGACAATTATGTGAGAATCTGTGGTGAGCGTGTAACGAGTATGCACGCACCGCGGTACAGCTCCCAGATAACCAATCAAGAAGCGGGATAACCGACCAACCCTGTGGTCTCAATTGGCATCATCCGGATTGGCTGAGTGCAAGAAGGCAAAGAGATAAACCACATTCTTGTTGATTGCACATTCAAGAATCGACCAATGATTGTTTGTTGCTTGTAATATATATTTCCATGATTTTCCTAGTAGAATTAANNGTTGATGAAAATGAGAAAGAGTAATGGGCGTTGTTATGTTTGAGCTAGACGTACGAATGAGCGACTCTTGTCTAACCCCACACGATAACGCGGAGAGAGAACAGCGCTTGATACAACACTCAGTGTGCATTTTATGAATAGGTATCAATGCGAAAATATGTAGAACAAATCGCGGATACGAGAACGACACAGTGACGCACCAATCAGATTGCGTCCTTGGCATATCGACTGATCGATCGGACAAACATTGGCTAATTCGTTCTGTGATCATCCAATCGTACTCAGACTTTGTGGAATGTTGCGAGCGTGCGTGTGTCCTGACCACGGGGCGTGTGCGATCGGACGGGTTGCGTAAGCTCCGTCCTAACAGGCCCAGTCTGGGATACACCATTGATCACATCTGAAGGGTCTGTAGTGTACTTGCCAACTTTTACTCTGAATGTCCACCCCATGAAGAAGTTATTCATCCAGGTTCTGGCCCTCCCTGTAATGACTACTGTTTGCATCTTGTGGTCCAGGTATCTGTGACTGACCTAGTCGAAGACCTTACGGAAGTACATTAACAGACTTCCACAGTGAGGCCTTTCTCGGGTCTCCTGGTCACATTGTCTACGCACTGGTGTTAGTATGTTGTGTACCAAAAGATTCTGTAGTATTCGGAATGGGAATCGAAATCAAATAGCGCGAACTCGGTATCGGACTGAAAACCCACTGAATAGCGCTAAGCCAGGTAGAACCAAAGCGAGCTGTAGATACAGTTAATTCTGACAGTTTTGTAAACAACGGTGTTGATTGTTGTTTTTGTAGCTGGGGTAGTATAACTTGGTGTTCAGTTGTTCTCCGAGCTTGGCAATTGTATTGCAAACGTTT